CCATGGAGTTTAACGAGCCATTTTGCTTTATTCCATCATACCCAAAGCCAAAACATAGTGAATCTTTGGCTTCATTTTGAGAGAAAGACTTTGTGTATTGCGTATAATTATTAAATACTAATTTTAAAAATATAAAATGTGGAACCGCTAAAGATCTGCTAAAGACCTCTGAAGGCCCATAGGATTATGGATATGGATAGAATGAGTCCAAACAAAAAATAATAATATGGATCTGGGTTCAGGTAGATCCTGCCCAGATCCTATCTAGTGGCATCCGTAACTATACTGTTCCAACTAGTAAGTGAACTAATTAGATTCTTGTTCTTCACTTCTTCCATTCTATAACAGGTGTTTTTATTAATACATACAAGAGAGGTCAAACTGAAAGGTTGGCAGAGGGCTAAATCAGAGAAGATACAAAAGACTTATGCTGACTATGATGCCAAAGAAGCATATTGTGATACAAAAAAGAATCTGTATGGAGATTTGCACACTTTATCACATGTTGAGCTGGATATGAAGGAAGAGAATGGTGCTAATATGAATACTCCTCAAATGTTGGTGGATCAGGGTGCCAGAATTTCTAGCTCCAATTCAGATAATATTGGCGGTGAAGACTTGAACTGCACTTATGCAAACAATTTTGAGGGTACACAATCTGGAGCTACTTGGGATGTCTTTCGACGGCAGGATATACCAAAGCTTGTTGAGTATTTAAGATGTCATAAAAATGAATCTGGAGAGCCTGAGAATGTAATAAATGATTCTGTAGGTTTTTTCGTATTTCAACTAGATCATTTTAGGGTAAAACTATGATTTCATGTTTGACTTCTATTTGCTTAAATCTCCATTGCTGCACACAGGTTCCTAGTCCTCTTTATGATGGGACGATATATCTGAACACACATCATAAAGAAAAGCTTAAAGCCAACTTTGGTAAGAGCAGTTTCTTGTATGTATGCTACAGCCCACATTTCTAATTTTTGTCTAACAATGTTTCTGTCTTCTTTTGTATTCTATATTAACCTATTGCAAGCTGTCATTCTTCCGTTTCTCTGTTTTTTCTTAATTATTCCCTAAACCGGAAAGTCCCTTTGGCTTGAATCTTTTCAGGAATAGAACCTTGGTCGTTTGAGCAGCATCTGGGGGATGCTATATTCATTCCTGCAGGCTGTCCTTTCCAAGCGAGGAATCTTCAGGTGAGGTGATCGCATTAATTTTCCTGTTTGTTTCCTACAATTGCGTTATGTATGGGATTATAGTAACGTATTTCCTTTGTATTTGTGAGCTTTGGGAGACAGCCTCTCTAGTATCTCAATTCAAAATGTAGTTATAGTGATAAAATGATCTAGGCTATCATCTTTGTATTTGTAGGAAATATTCAGCAAATATAGTCTAATTTCTTTTCGACCTTTATGACTACAATATCAAATATGGAGTACATCTGCTTGTTGCCTTTTCATGATAATTTGCATGCACGTGGAAATAGTTATGATGTTGACTGTTTTCGAATTTCTATCTCTAAGTTCTCCTAAAGAAGGTTGCAAGACGAAGGGCATCCAACCTTGAACATTTCCCACTATTTTCTTTTTCTTCGCATGAATTTATAGTTTTAACTAATTTTACACAATTAATTAGCACTGTAAGTTTAATGCCACCAAGCCCACCTAGATGGGATTATAATGATGATGATGACGGAGGAGATGACAATTAATGACAATGCAGTCAACAGTTCAGTTGGGCCTTGATTTCCTCTCTCCGGAAAGCTTAGGGGAAGCCGTGAGAATGACAAAAGAAATTCGCGGTCTTCATAATGCTCATGAAACCAAGCTTCAAATGTTGGAGGTCTGCATTTTTTCCTTATCGTGTCATCCGTTGCTTATAATTTTTGGATGGAGAAATAATCTCTTCAGATCCTTCATTCTTTCATGTTTGTCACTTGAGCAGGTGGAAAAGATATCACTCTATGCAGCAAGTTCTGCCATTAAAGAAGTTCAGAAACTGGTTCTGGATCCAAAGTAAGAAGCTTACATATCATTATCTGTTCTAGAAATGTGGATTAAAAGAACGGTTCAGTCCAAATGACATTGGAGTCAATATCAAAGGATGACATCGGGCACTTATGGTGATCCCCTGGGTTTGAAAGTGGTTCATACTCCCTCTAATCCTCCAAATAAGACCCTGCCCCTACACCCCACCACAGCTCTCCAATGTAGCAATTTGGCAGTTTGGGGAGGGAGCAGTGGGGGTTAGGAGCCACTTTTGGCCCCAGCAGAGCACCTTAGGGACCCGATGTCATGTTATGTCATTGAAGTTCATTGTCATTTGAACTGCTGTGTTAAATGAAATTTGTGTATGTGTATATATATCTCACACACACACACACATATTATACATACACACACACACATATATATAATTAATTAATTAATTAATTAAAATTGTTCAGAATTGGCCCGGAGCTTGGATACGAGGATCCTAGTTTAACTGCAAGTGTATTGAAGAACCTGGAGATGATGAGGAAAAAGCAGGTTGCATGCGCTTGAAGGGTACATATTTATACATTACATAGTATAACGAACTGTGGTTTTCTATATGGAGGATTGCCCTTTTTCTGCATTACCGGCCTGCGGTGTATGTGTATAGCATAGCTCACCCTCGGACTTGTTCTTTTTGTTCTTAAATTATTCGCCTTTTACCAATTTATAACTCAGAAGTTATAGTTACCATAGTTAACTATGAAGACGGTCGGTGATTATCCATACGGGTAATCTTAGTTTCTCAGTAAAAAAAGATGCTTCTTGAAAATGCAGATCTCGGCATTCAGAAAAGGTTTCTCGTTTGGTTTTACATAAAGTTTAAGAAAAGTAAAATTGTGTGGTGGGAAGTAATGTGAAAGAGAGAGATTGTGAGCCACATAAAATTTTTCATAACTGGAAAGAAGAGTATTTTAGGGACGTCCCGAAATGGAATCTATTAGTTTTGTATTTTACATTTGGCCATATGTAGCGTGTCGTGAATTTGAAGTTAATACTAGAACAATTTTTTTTTTTGTTTTTGGTCGTGTTGGATTATTTTTTTTTTGTTACTCACTTTTTCTTTTGTAAAATTGTTGTCAATGTGATTTCTATTTTATTTTACATGTTTTTTTTCTCTTGATGCCATTCTTGAGCCCGAACGCCTGGCCGGTGGCTTGGCCTGCCTAGATGGGCGGATATGAGTATAGCTTTCAGCTCATTTGATTTTTGTTGGGTCGGGCTCGCCCATACGGAGTATTATTTAGCATTAAATCTGGCTTGGATTCGTGCTTGCACATGTCTAATCATTGTTTACTTTAGTCGTGACAAGGGCAAATAAAAAAAATGTTTATTTAGTTTGTGCTTCTTAATAGATATTGATTTGGAAAAATACATTCAGAAAAATGCAATATATAATTAAATATTTACCTTGCCACGGTGCCCTGAAAAAATAGGAAACAATTAGACAAGCTATTAAGCTAAAATCAGTTTGTCATGGTGTCCGGCGTCACAAGGTTGTGACAAACAATGTGGTGGCAAACAGACTCCTTCCACACTCGAGAGAAAGAAAGGAATGAATGAAAATAAATAAGTTTAACCAATCCTTTAGTATGAGGTCTTTTGGTATGTACCCAAAATTAAATTTATGAAAGTTTAGTCTAAAACAGATAATATTCTACTAACGTGGGATTGATATGAGGGTACGTGTGGTTTCAAGTCGTGGTATCAGAGTCGGGGTTCAAAGTATTTTGAAATGATGGACTACGTTGTTCGGAGTTCTTAGTGTGATGGCGGGCAACAAAAGTAGAATCAGAGGATCTTTAGGTGGTATTTTGTTTCAAAAATCTACATCAAAAGAATCTGTAGTCATGCAATGAGTCCTCTTAGATGGTAATGGTGCTACATGTGATTTGATTGATTAAGTGGTGTGGTCTACCGTAATAGAGATTTACAGTTGATGTCTTGTTTAGAAAGTCTTCTTGGAGATACAAGTGATTAGGTGATGGGTCCCACAAGGTTATTGCAACGTTTCCCACATGATTATTGCGATGGGACAAAATGGTAGACGGATGAAAAATGGATAAACACTGAAGGGAGGTCACAAGAAACTATGTTTTGATCTCCATGGGTAGTCTCGATCTCCAAGGGCAATAATAACCGCAAAGCAATCAATGTAAGATGAATTCGATTAAAGTTCATAGACAAATAAATAAGAGACAATAATTCATCAGTAGTCGTTTCACAATGAAAATTGTAGAATTTTTTATCGTTATTTAAATAAATTAAATTCAAAATAAAACTAATTGGTCATATAATTTTTTTTTAAATTTAATTATGAGATGGAATGAGTATTTTTTATATGAACCTTGAACATTGCTAAAGGCACAAGAATAAATTATTTTGAAGAACTTTTCATGTAGTTTTTTGATATGTAAATTTTATTTTTTATTTTTTATTTTTATACCAATATGTAAATAAAATGAATTGAAAAAACTTGATATTTTACCTCAGTAATAGAAGTGTGACAAATATTTAGGGACGGAGGGAGTATGTAGTTTATAATTTACTTCGTACATACTTTGAATAAATATAAAAATAATTAAACACTCCCTCCGTCTCAAATTGTTTGCAACATTTTGAAGAACGTGTTAAATATCATCTCTTTTAAAATTATTTTATTTATAAATTGGTAGAAAAATAAAATATAAAAATTATATAAAAAATTTTACAAAATAAGATATGACCAGAGTATTTTATTTTATCAAATGATAACTTAAGTGACTAAATAAATAAAAATTATCGAAAAACCGAAATAATAACCGTGACACTTTTTTTGGGATAGAAGAAGTATGTGAAATGATTACTGAATTGATGAGGGGAGAGGACATTGTCGTCAATATCTCAAAAGACGAGGTCATTGCAGTCATTTCGTCATTTGAACATCAATGGATTTTACCAGAATCGCAGCAGAATCCGAGATTCCCACGGAGGAAAAAGAAAAGCAGTTAATTAAGGAGTACTTTCTTTTCTTCTTCTTCTTCATCAGCCCCATGTTTTTCTCATTGGAAATCCGAGTTTATCTTCCTTCTTCTTTCTTCTTCTCCACGGGAAACTCTCAATTTCCTTCAACTCTTTTTCTCCCCTTGCCGTAGTCCACAAGCAATCGAAACTCCGATAACCGCCGACCGGAATCCCGCCATTTGCATCATCACACAACAATAACAAAATCCTGTTTCGCCCCCCATTCCTGTAGCGATTGCGGCTCCGATAATTGTTTCTTTTGGTTGAATTCGAATTTAATCGGCAGAAAGGAGTTGGCTTTTGCGGAGGGCCGTTGAATCGGGTGCTAGGGTGGGTTCGGACCCTAATTCTGGAGCGAATTTCAAATTCAATCGGTTATTAATTTATTAACTTGTTTCGGAAAGGTGGTTAATTACATGGAAAATCTACCTGGGATGTGAAGAATTTTCATTGGGGAAGCGATGGTGGTGGGGCCTAAGAGGAGGTGGGGAACCTGGGAGGAGCTTATCCTTGGCGGTGCTGTTCTCCGGCATGGTACGGCTGACTGGAACGCCGTGGCTTCCGAGCTCAAGGCTCGGACTCTCTACCCTAACAGCTTTACCCCCGAGGTTGGCAAACAATTTATGGTTTACTACCTTTGTTGCATTCAAATTAGTGCTCTCGTTTCGGTAACAATGGTGGTGTGATGCTATTTTCAATTCAATTTAGAAAAGTTAGTGTACGATTAAAAAAACTTATATTTTGAACACAAAAATCTACTCTAGTACAATGTTGTATTTGTTCATATATTTATACTACATCTCGACCTAGTGAAGAACAAAGAGTTAACACTCTCACTGGGTTATGAACTTGTTACCTCCTATTTGGGAGAGCCAGAGTGATGCAAGTGGACCACGAGATTTTTGGCAAAACAAGGGTGGCTTGACTATGTTATTTAGCAAATAATTAATGAAAATATGCAACGAAAGGAAATAAAATATCATTTGACCCAGTGAATAGTGAGTCAACGGAGGGATTGTTTAATAATAACATCACTAGTATCTCAATTTATATTGTTTGTGAATATTTGAAGAATGTAAAATTGTAGATGTAAATTTATTTGGGAAATCAACTTGCTTTTTTCCTTAGCTAGTTGGATATCAAATTCTTTTCTCCCGGTTTTCCTAGGAATCACTCCATGGCAGAAACCAAAGTAACAAACGTCCTTTTAGCAGGGTACAAGCTGTTCGCTTTCTTTAAAGCTTTAACTTTACGCCATGTCTCTTAAGATAATGAGGGTTATTTATTTGTTTAAAAAATAAATCCAAGGAGGCATTGGTTATGGAAAGTTAGATTACTTTGCAAATGTGATAGACTTTAGGAATGCAATGTGAAAATATTCACACTACCAAGGTGATCTCAGATTACNACCAAACAAAGGAGTTTAACATTATTCTCCAAACATTACCTTGGAAATCTCAAACTACCCTAACCAAACACTCCCTAAATGGGGGGGGGGGGGAGGTGGACCTTTTAAGATAGATTGAGTGGTCATGTGCAATGCTCATATATGGTTTTCCTGTTTCTTTGCATTTCAAATTAATTGAAACATTTACAATTCCAGGCTTGCAAGGCCAGGTATGAGAATTTGCGAAAGCGGTACTCTGGCTGCAGGTAAATAAATGAGCTTAGACTCATGAAATTTAATTATTGTATCGCTAATGATGTATATGCTCCAGGAAGTAAATTGATTAACCAATGTATTGGAGTCCATTGTGCTATTAGACATTAGTGTGTTAATAAATTTGCTTCCATTTCGTCTATCTCCAAGTTTTTGGTTTGAAGAGCTAAGAAAGCGGCGAATTGAAGAATTGAGACGAGAGTTGAAGAGATCTGAAGGTTCCATTGGGTTAGTTGTATTCTTCTTTTCTTATTGAGGTTAAAACTATATAAAGCTTTATTTCAAATTAGCCCCATCATTTCAAGCGTCACTGCTTCTGTAATTAATCTTTGAACAAAAAATAACCTGGTAATAGTCCTAGATTACGAGTGTGTCTGGATAACTAATTTTCATGGAATAAATGCTTCTTAGAGGAGAAAATTGAAGACTTTTACTTCAAAAACAAAGAATGCTTTTAGCAGTTAAAAAAGTACTCCATATGTTTTAATGCTTATTCAAGAAATCAGCGAATTGGTACTTTTCTACAAAAGCACTTCCATTGCTTAAATGAAAAAAAGCATTTATATCATAAGTTATCACAGACAAGCTCTACCACTTGCTTTCTTTTTAAAACTGCTTTATAATTAACCCTAGGGAAAAAAAGATCCCATATAATGCATTTGTAATGGTTTGAGACCTATGTGATGATCATGTGCCTTTTTTTCCTCTTCAAGTGGAACATACGATTGATAACGTTTTCCTGGGTGTTTCCCTAATATTACATATCATGGAATGATGAAATTGTAACATAATAGGAGTATGTAATTTAGCATTTGTGATTACCTTAATTTGTATTTATCCTGTTTCCCACATCCAATATCAGATCTCTGAAGTCGAAGATAGAATTTCTAAAGGCTGAGCGAGAACGTTCCTTACCCGTTCCCGTGGTAAAGTTAGAGGGCATTGAGTCATCTGCTGGAAGCTTCACCCGAAATTTCAACCTGAACGAGTCTCCCGGATGCCAAGTTCAGGGTCTAACATCTGCCATAGATGCAGAGACAAATAAGGATGGAGGGGGGACAACGATGAGGAAGAGAAGAGGTCAGAGGAAAAGAAAGGACATTTTATGGGATTCAAAAGAAGGGAGCGTTGGGGAGAGTGGGAACATGTGCTCAGCAAGTGCTGTCTCATTTTCTCACAGCAAGGAAGCATCAGATGGTTGTGATGACGATGAGACAAGAAGAGGAGTTTCTGGTTGCACGAAGAACGCCGGGTTGATGGATATCTTCGATTCCATTGCACAGAGAGAACCAGCTTTGGTCTTTAGACATCGTCTTGATAGTCAGGTATTATTACGACTTGCCATTGCTCTTTTTGTATTAATAAAAAAGTAATGTCTAGCACCCAAAATTTATTGGAAAAAAGACTAAAGTTGGAGTAAAACATCGCAAATATACCAAAATAGGAGTTCCATGTTTTTATTCCCGAAATAGGAGTTGAAATGCATTTACATTGCCAATCATGACCATGTACATTACGTAAAATGCACATGTACACAGTGCGAACTCCTATTTAAGGAATAAAAACACGGAACTCTTGTTTTGGTACTTTCTCTATGTTTTTGTCCTATTTAGGATAATTTCTTAAGTTCTATCTCACAAAATTTTCCACTCTTGATCTCATCTTTGACTTTCATGTTTCCACATTTGGTGCACGGCTATAGATTTCTTACCACTCTTGGTCCCTTCCGGTTGGTCACTTGAAAAGCAGAAATCGTCCAAAACTTGGCCGGGTAAGACGGTAAGTACACATGATCACCAGTTCACCACAAGGACCAAGAATGACAATCATAAAAAGCATAGTCGTGCACCAAGTAGAAAAATGGAGTCTTGAATCAAAAGGTGGAATGTCTTAATCGTGCACCAAGTAGAAAAATGGAGTCTTGAATAAAAAGGGGAAATGTTCTAATCGTTGTGTGCGCAAAATATTTATTTATTTATTTGTTTATCTGTGCTTTTTTGTGAACTCATCATATATATCATTATTCCATACATGATGAATGGGCATACCAGAAGAGGGCAAGATACAAGAAAACAATCAGACGCCACATGGATATGGAGACCATTAGATCAAGAATCCTCACCCTTTCCATCAGATCGCCCGAAGAACTCTTCATAGATCTCCTTTTACTAGCCAACAACGCGGTGATCTTCTACTCAAAGCGAACCCGGGAACACAAAGCCGCTCTCTCTCTCAGGGATGACATCACGAAAGCCTGTCGCCATCATCAGCAGGACATGTGGGCCCAGACCAGAATCTCCCCCCCTGTTCTTCCAACAACAACCACATGCGGTCGTCCTGTGAAGCCGCGCAGCGCCAGGCCCCGCACCAGCAAGCACAGGATCCCAGCCAACACAGACGCAGTTCGTCTCCTCAGTGATGACGTGGCGGGAAAGAGAGGGTGTTTCGTCAAGCAGCCTGGGAAGGCGAAGCGCGTGTCTGTGAAGAATCCTGTTTGGGGTCACTTTGGTAAGGAAGATTCGTCTCTGCGGCATAAAACTGTGTCGAAGGATGAGCTTGTAGCTGTAGTAGGACCTAATAATAATAAGCCTGTGGTGAAGAAAAGGAAAATTTGCCATGGCAGAGTTTGAGGTAAAGCTAATTCAGGCCAATGTAATTACTGGATTAGTAAACCTAACCAAACAAACGTGGTGTAGCTAATAAGCAATAACCCCACACGAGATTAGAGTACATTTTGATCATCCATCTTCCTCTTTTATCTTAATTTCATTTGGTTCATGTGTCAAAAATCAAGTGCACAAACACATTGACACGGAAGGGGTAAATCTCGGGTTGAAAAATACGGAGTATGAAATTACAATGAAAACATGTTTCTATCTAAACATGTTTTATTTGCTCTATGTATATAATGTAAGAATGAATTCAGTTTAGAATATAACAATAACAACCTAGTTGAATCTTACAGAGATAGGAACGACTTATTTTAGACTATATGTCCGCCCATTTTCTATAAAATATATTTATATGTTGTATAATTTTACTCGTACTAATTTTATTGTATATTCATCATATATAAATATCTTTTTCAAATCGCTGTTGGAAGAAATTTGAAGATGTTGGAAGTTGATTTTTTCCACCCAAAAGAACATGGCCGTAGTATATTCCAATAAAGTACTCCGTATGAATTATATATGTGCATATATATCTATACTCGGGGTACAAACATACAACACAAATTTTATAATGTCTCTAGAGTTTTTTGTATTACTTTTAGATTTTTTTACTTATAGCATATGTAATTTAGTAGATGCAATTAAATTATAAAAATAATTAATACTACATCCGTCATTGAGTATTTGTTTTCGCAGTCAATTATTTTTGACGTTTGACCTCGAATTAAATAGAAAATTATGTGGTATATTAATTATATAAAATAATATTTTGAAAATATTGTATGAAACTATTCTAATAAAATTAATTTTGTATCAATATCTAATACTAATTTTATTTAATTAGTAGTCAATTTCGACTGCAAAAAGTCAAAATTGAACAAATACTCTAGCTGTATTCGGAATATATTTTAAGTGGATCGAATATCTTATATTCACCTCTATTTATACTTCTCATATTAACAATCAGGTTTGGATGATATCTGTTTCAAACTGATATACATAATTTGGCACTTACGTGATATAGGGATGTCAATTTCTACCTAACTCGTCGGATAATTAATTCATCTGATGTACAATTTGATGATGGATTGTGTCGAATGCGGATGGAGATTTTTTCACCCACCACCTCATCCATTCATAACTATTTAACAATTTATACTTCTTCCGTCCACATTGAATCTTTCCATTTGACTTTTTGGTTAAAATTTGTAAACTTTGATCTCGATTATTGTGTTTTGATATAAGTTTAACATAAATAATTTCCTTTTGAAATGCTAACTTTTTATAAAATATATTTATGTATAAATATTAATATTAATGTTTAAAGTATTACACTGGAGAACGTAAAAACTCAAATGTGAAAATTAAATCCGAACAGAAGGAGTATTTAAATTACGAATTATATCTTGTTAGGAAGTTTTGTTAATCATAGCTGAGTTAGATCTATTTCAATGAAGTTTATATTCCATTTTATGATTTAATATTAAATGAAAGGCTCCCATTTATGTATATGAATTTTTTTACTTCTAGGTTTTTACCTTAAAAGTTTGTTTCTTAATGAGATTGAATTATAAAGATCAACATTGTAGTTAAACTCTTCTCTTCTCTTCCTACTCTATTGAGGTATTTTATGCTTTATAGTTTTTTTTGCGTCTTACTCCGTATTTTCATAAAATCAACAATTTGAAAATCATAATGAATATCACATACTTTTACCGGTTTTATTCATATCGCCCGCAGATAATGGATGGACTAAATGATGAATGTGTACTTAGGCCATGTTCTATTCAATTTATTTTTGTTACTTATTACGGAGTATTTTTTTCTTATTGGAATCAGATTACACTTGATCAAAAACCTTTTTAAATATAACTACATTCATATCAGATCAAAATCATTCAGATCAAGTGAATAAACACATGGCCTAAAGGGATGGATTTGGGAAAAGGACCAACATGGAGAGTATTAAATAAGAGGTGACATGAATATATTACTATTTTTTTTAAAATGACCAAAGTAAAATAGGTAAATAAACTGAATACAATTTGATCATGTGAAAAGTGATCGGGAGGAAAGTATTACTCCTTTCGTCCTTAAATGTTCTTTCCATTTTTGTTTACGAGGTTTGACCGACTTTATTTTTCATTCAATTTATTTGGATGTAGATATAATTAAAAAATAAAATTTATATATTTAAAAACCACATCAAAAGTGACAAGACTATATTATCTTATCAAATTACCAATGAAAATAGGTAAAGAAAGTGAATACTCGTAAAATTTAATCGTTTAAATAGTAATTGAAAAGAACGTTTTAAGACGGAGAAAGTGAGATAGAGCGGCAATTTTTTGTTGTAGTTGTTCCATTAATATTAGTGATCAATCCCAAAAGAACTCCTCCATTAATACTTAGGAAGCGCTTGATGTATACTTCAAAATTTGCCTCTTTCTCTAGTGTTTCCAAATGTCAAGCTAAGAAAAGAGGCCAATATGGAATTTTAACTGGGAATCGCATAGAAATATGCAGTTTTGCGTCGCTATCAAAGAAAGGATAAACAAATGCATCGTCTCTAAATTTTAGGCCATTTGTGCCGTGACAGAGACGCTCTCGCCGCCGCGAATCCCCTCCCGGCCCCGCCCGTGGCCATTCCCCCTTGAAACGTGGCGCTTCCGACACTTCCGTCTGTGACTCTTTCATCTTTTTCCACCCACCCACCCAACCTCACAACTCCCAACCCGCATCTCTCTCTGACCTGTATTTGCAGGTGGCGCCCCCCGGGCTTGTACAATACGCGGCTCTCCGGCCAGGGCGAATCGGAGCTCCAGAGCTTCTTCATCGTCTCGATTCTGCATCCTGCTCCGTTGATTCGATTCAAGTCGAGGTATTCATGACGATTTTCCGGTTGATTTTGGACTGTTCTGTTATGAAACCAGATTAGGGAATGCTGGATTCGTTAGTATTCCTAGTTTAAGCTGAATGCGGGAGATCATCTTTGTTATGATTATTCGTTCTATAATTGTTCGATTCTGTTTTGTTATTAGTGTAATTCGTATCTATAACACGCAATTTGACTTGTTCATCATTTGTTTTCTCTTTAAGTTCTGTTTTTAATCTAATAGAAGCTCAGTTATCATCAATTTTTATCAGCGATTTCCCCTCTTTAAGTGCGCATTATCTTTATTGGGGATAAAATCTAGCGATTCTGCTTTAATTTGCCTATTACCTTTAATGTTTCTTCACATGCATTTAACTTGGAAGCATTATCTTAGCTGCATTTTCAGCACAAGCCGCCGTTTAATCATATTGTTCTCTTTTTTTCACAGGCATTTACTTCAAAAGCAGATTTGTTGCACACCACCAAAATTTCTTATTTGTTGTTCTCATGTGCATCTATGTTGAACTTTTTTTTAAGTACTTACATATGGATAAAAAATGTTATTCCCAAACAAGGCCTCGGAAGGTTGTTCTTCTTTTCTATGTGTTGTACAATAAAAGAATTGAAACCTCCAATTTTAAACTTTCATGGCCAAGCTTGACACTTATCTTGGATTGACTTAATTGCGCACTTGCAATAAACATAGTCCAAAGTAATTAGTAGGGACCCGAATGTGACAATTGTCAGTGTAATCTTTGTGAAATGTGAATCATATGCCATTGTGGAAAGCATATATCTTCTTTACCATGGAAAAACCTGTCTTGCTAATGCAATCCATAGGTATGTAGCTATTGACTTAATGGAAACACGACATCAAGTATTTTTTTTTGTGCAAACATGAAGACATTTATACAACATGTTGAGAAGTTTCCAAAAGTTGGATATTGAATGTTATGTTGTAGTTGTGGTTAAATTTGTTGCCGCACAGCGCACTTGGTGGTACCATCCTTTCTGTTGAATATGACAAGCCTAATATAGTTCAACAACAACACTCAAGTCAAATCCCACAGAGTGCCTTATCTCTGAAAGTAGAGAGGTTGTTTCCAAGAGACCATGGGCTCATGACCAACCTAAATTTCGTTCCTCAATACGAAACACATGGGGTGGGGAGGGGGGCTTCTTAGAGGAAAGTCCGAGTAGATTACACTATTTTCCTAGGTTCATTTATACTATCATTTGTCTCCACACGCTGTTCTATCGAGTTTTTGTTTCTCTTTTGATTCAATATATATGTGATCTAGGAAGTAGCTATATTCCCTGAGGTCATTATTACTATATTAATATATTTTGATTAAAAGAATGTGGGGTTTAAGGCTTGGTTGTTTTTGTCGATTCTACTTTTAGTCTTCTTTGCATAATCAAAATGATGTTTGATAGTTATTATTTTAAATTTCACAGTTGGTGATGTATTCCTGTGGATATCATTTATACATATGAAGGAAATAAAACCATGGAAATCACTTATGAAGAAAAGAAGTGACTCGTTTGAAGGGGTATGTTGGTTTGTATATGTGGTTATTTTGGGTTTCATACGACCTACTCCCTCCGTCCTAAAACTTTCTTTCCAGAGCACTATTCCAACTTCACGGGAATTTATATTTATTTGTGTTTTTTCATGGCCTATATGATAAAATAAAATATTCTTGTCACCACTTGTTTTGTTGAACTTTTGATGTAGTTTTTAAATATGTATGTTTTATTTTTTATTTCTATACCAATATTTAAATAAAATAGATTGAAAAAACTTGAGATTTTTCTTCGTTTTACGCAACGGGAAGAAAGATATAGGACGGAGGGAGTATTAAATTTCCGAAAATTTTAAGTTCATACTTTCAACTTACAGAGACACTAGGATTTATATCATGTGAAACTTGCAGGGGACATGTGGATTCAAGAAGAAACAGCTGCCCTTTATGGCGATTGTTTGCACAATAATGCTGTTTATTGGATATAGGACCACTAGTTTTCAATATCAACGCACAGAGGTACTTCTGTCACTAGCTTGCTTGTCTTTCATTTGTTTGCTTGATCCGAAATCATTTTTTCATTAAAAATCTGAAAGGGTTTTGCTTATAACATTCTGGAACCTTGCCTCTTGTTTTCTTCTGGGCATTTAGAAAGGGTAATGGATGGAAAAGTTCTGCTTTATGTATGTATGTATGTGTGTGTGTGCCTATACACACAAATACAAATATATATATATATATATATATAGGATCAAGTGAGAATGTGATTTAATGAAAGAAATAAAATGCATCTCGTGCATTAGAT